GGGTCGACGGCGCGCCGCTTGCCCTTGCCGCTCGGCGCCGACGACGACGCCAGGGGAGCGGTGCTCGGCGCAGGAAGCGAGGGACGAGGGGCTTTGGCGGGTGCCGAGGCGGTGGGCTGGGCGGGGAGCGAGGCGCGAGGGGCGCGAGCGGGTGCGGCCGTGGTCGAGGTGGCGGCGGCGGCTTGGGCGGCTGACGTCGACGTTGACGCGACAGGGTGCGCCGCCTTGCTGCTGCTGCTCGCGACAGGTACAGGACGAGGCTGCGCCTGGGTGGACGGGCCGGGCGCGTCGTCGTCGTCGTCGTCGTCGCTGCGGAGCTCGATCGGGTCCTGCTTCTGCTTCTGCTTCTTGCGCGGCGGCGGGAGCGTCGACGACGCGGCCGACTCAGTCGTTGCGTCGCGCTTGCGGCGCTTCTTGTCCTTCTTGGTCTGCTTGGCGACCTTCATGCGCTTGCGGTACTCGCGCAGCGACTGGTCGACGGCGTCGCGGTGGTCGCGGTGGTACGTCTGCCACGACTGGACCGAGTGGTCGGGATTCTGCGAGCGACGAGCGTGGGTCAGGTTCGTCGCTCGGTCTCGAAAGGTGCAGGAGGGAGAGGAAGGTGGGTGGACGCACGTAGGCCTCGAGCTCGGTGTAGATGCGCTGCTTGAGCCAGCTCTCCTGCTCGGCGCGGTACAGGACGCGAACGAGCTGCTTGAAGTCGTCGTCGGTGTACTTCTTGCGCGCGTTGGAGCGAGGCTTGCGCCTCGGCGCGTCCGAGTCGTCGTCGGAGGAGGACGAGGACGAGGGGCGAGGGAGCTCGAGCGCCTTGCGCTTCTTCTTGTTCTTCTTGGCCGGCGGCGCGGTGTCGTCGGCGGGATGATCGTGCTCGTCGTCGTCGTCGTCGTCGTCGTCGTCGTCGTCGTCGCGAGCGCGCCCTTGGCCCTTTGCCGAGCGGGCGGCCTTGTTGTCGCGCTGGCGCTGTCGGCGGATGCCCTCGATGAGGCGGTCGATGCCGTCCTTGTCGACCCGATTGTAGTGGTTCATCCAGGCCTGGTAGGTGTGCTCGGGGTACTGTTGCGCGGGAGGGACGAGGTGAGCGTGAGGGGGAAGCGGGGTCGAGCGCGAGTCGGGGCGGGGCGAGAGGGAGGGTGGGACGCACGCGTCGCTCCATCTCCTTGTGAGTCGAGGGGGTGCCGCGCTTGTCGGGCGGGATGGTGCTGAGCAAGTGGGCGAGATGTTGCTTGTCGGCGGGGGTGAAGGCGCGACGGCCACTGCAGGGAAGGGCGAAGGTCAGTTGGGGGCCGGTGGTTCGAGAGCGGACGGGGTGGTGCGCACTCTTGGGCCATGGTGAGCGCGCGGCAGGTCGCACTGGACGAGTCGAGGGAGAGAAGCGGGGGAGCTTGTTGCCGCTCTCTCGTCCCCGCGTCGCTCCTCGTCCTCCTCCCTCGCTCGGCGGCCATGACGACAACCCGCAGGCTGTCGGGCATGCAGCACGGCCAAGGACACCAGTCGACATCCCTCATGCTCGAGACGTACGAGGCCTGTCAGCCCCCCCCTCCCTCTCCCCCCGTCCTCATCTCGCTCAACCCTGACCAACTCGCCTCACCCTCCCCCAGTCAAGCGCAAGCACCTCTCGCAGAACAAGGAAATCATCCTCAAGAACTCGGAACTCCACAAGTCCGTCCACCCACTCTCCTCTCGTCCTCGACCCCGAGCTGAACCCCCCGCCGCGACAAACAGGACCAATGCCGACCTCCAGCGCCAGATCTCGCTCATGCGCGGCGAGCGTCTCGCCCTCAAGGGCACCCAGTTCCAGCTCGAGTGCGAGAACGCCGCCCTGCGCGACCGCCTCGACCGCGCAGACGACCGCGAGCGCCAGTTGATCGACGAGCGCGACCGCCTCCGACGAGCACCCGCCTCGCCCTACGACCCCGACCAAGTCGAGGTGAGCTCCACCTCCTTCGCCTTCTGCAACCCGAGAGCTGCGCCGCTCACCCTCACTCGACCGCAGGCCATGCGCCGAGCTCTCGCCCACGCCTCGGCCGCGCTCCAGGCCGTCCACCTCATGCTCCCGACCGGCGCCACGCCCATGCCCTCGCCCGAGCCACGCATCCCTCAAGCACCGCAGCCAGGTGCGCCCCCATCTCGCACTCGGTCCCGAAACCGAGCTGACCGGCCCATCGTCCTGCAGAACCTGTCGCTCCAGTCGCTTCCACCTCGTCCGCCGACCCGACCGCCGACCCGCACGCCAACATCTCGCTCTCTCGAAGGAGGTCACTCGCCGCACGCGCAGCGAGGTCGTCCATGGCGGCGCCGCCCGACCTGAGCAACATCAGCGAGGGCACGAGCGGCGAGGACGACGTCGAGGCCGCTCCCGCCAGCAGCAGCTGGGGCGTGCCCATCTTGCCCGAGTGAGCCCCTCTACGACGTCTCGAGTCCCCAGAACCGTGACTGACCGCGTACCTCGCGCGCAGCATGCCCGGCTACGCCGGCCCGTCCACCACCGCCGCTTTCGCCGCCGCACCTCCCGTCGCGTCCACCTCAGCTGCCCTTCCCACGCCCGTCTCGCCTCCCAGCCCACCCTCCCCAGCCGCCTCTACCCCGCCTTTCTCGACCCTCTCGCGCCCAGCTCGCGCGCCGCGCGCCCCGCCCAAAGCCCCCTCGGCCACCTCGCACGACGCGCTCACGCCGCCGACCACGGCGAGCAGCAGCGGCACCGGCGGCTCGTCGTCGTCGTCGCGCCCCAAGCGCCGCGTGTCGGGCATGCTCCGCCCTGGGCTCGCGAGCGCGGGCAGCAGCGAGTTTGGCATGGCCGAGGAGGACGACGGCGAGGTCGAGCCCGTGCCGGCGCCTGGGCACAACCAGGACGGCGATGCCGAGCCCGAGCTCGAGTCGCCCTCGGTGCCGGCCACGGTCGCGGTGCGGAGCGCAGCGAGGGGCAAGCGCCGCGCCTCGTCGCTCCTCGCGCCGCCGGTGGTCGTCCTCGCCGCATCGTCGTCGTCGTCGCGCTCGACTCGCACGGGCAGGACGCCGACGCCCGAGCCCGAGCCTGAGCTCGAACCTGCGTCGCCACCTCGTCAACGCGAGTTCGAGGAGGACGAGCGCCGCACGGTCCTGCGCGAGATCCAGCCCGGGCCCGAGCCCGCCGCGCCCTCGACGGCGGGCAAGGGCAAGGGCAAGGCGGCGCCCAGCGCTTCACCTTCGGCTCCTCGTCGTGGCGACGCCGACGCCGAGGACGACTTGTCGCACTCGCTGTCGTCGAGCCGCGGCGCGGCGCTCCTCCAGGCCAAGAAGGACGCCGTGCGGACGCAGCGTGCGGCCGTGGCAGCGGCGCCGCCAGTCGTCGACGAGCCCGAGGACGACGAGCCTGCGCCCGAGGAGACGAGCGCGTCGAGCCTCGTCGCCGACGAGACGGTCCTCGGCCCGAAGAGTCGCGTGACCAAAGCGAGGCGGGTCGAGGAGCTCGAGCTGCTCGACGAAGAGGGTGCGGGTGTGCCGGCTCGGACAGAGTCGCAGGAGTCGACCGAGGAGGGCGCAGGCGGTCGGCGGGCCCGCAAGTCGGTCAACTACGCCCTGCCAAAGCTGAACACGTGCGTCCGCCCCCTCTCTCTCTCTCTCTCTTGCTCGCCTCGCCCTTTCGCCTGATTGACCTTCATTCGCGCCGTTCCGCAGCAAGATGCGACGTCCCGAGGACTACAAGCCCGTCAGCAAGGCCTCGACCTCGTCGTCGTCGAGCGGCGCCAAGCCGCGCAAGTCGACCAAGGCGCCCCCGTCTTCCTCCTCGTCGACCTCGTCGCACTCGGCCGTGCCGCCGCTCCCTCTCCTCGACGCGCCCGCCTCTCGCCCTCCATCGCTCGCCGGCAAGAAGCCTCGTGTCGCTCCCCCGCCTCCCGTCGACTCGCCGATCGTCGAGGACAGCATGAGCAGCAGCGACGACGACGACGCCGAGTGGAACGAGCGCCAGTTCCTCAAGCGGGCGTCGACGTCGACGGCTTCGTCGAGGGCGTCGGCGGCGGACGAGCGGCGCAAGGCGAGGGCGTCGGCGGCGCCGAGGAGCGGGTCGGGAGCAGGAGGAGGAGCAGGAGCGGGTTTGAGGAGGCACTCGGTCGCCGTCTGAGCGCGTTCGAGGGAGGTCATGATCTATGTGCAGGCCGTGCTGTCTAGTATCTCTGCATTCCATTGCGTATTGCCGCTCGCCGAGGCCGGTCCACCAACGAGAGCGAGCACGTTGAGCGAGAGGGGCAAGCTTCCCTTCCCTCCTCATTCGCCGGCCAGCTAGACAGCCCGCACCACGCTCGTGCTCGCTCTCGACATGCCTGCACCAGCGCGACCCGCGCCCGCCGACGCCACGTCCCCCTCCCCCGAGTCGACCTCCCCACCTCGACCTCGTGAGCCCACACGCTCGCCGCGCCAGGACAGCTCGCGCGCGCGCACCGAGGCCTCGGTCGCCGATGCGCAGGGCAGCGGCCGCTCGCGGCGCGCCCGCACCAAGGACTGGGCGGGCGACTCGGCGACGCTCACGATCCTCGAGACCGTCAACCCGGCCTTGCGCCTCGTCCAGACGACGAGCGCGGCCACGTTCGCCCTGTTTGGCGTCGTGCACCTCGCGTCGCCGCTGAGCGCGCTCCTGCCGCAGCGGCCCAAGTACCTCACGAGCGCCGAGAACCGCGCCAACGGGTTCCTCCTCGTCGCGCGCGAGCTGTACCAGGGCGAGTGGACCGAGCCGGTGTGGGTGTGGGGCTCGCTGTCGGCGCACGTCCTGAGCGGCATGGTGCTGCGGTGGCTCAAGGTCGTCGAGCGCGTCGAGCGCCGCAAGGTGCGCCGCGACGAGGTCAGGCGCCGCGCGAGGGAACTCGCGACCGTCCACGCCGACGAGCTCGTCGGCCCCGACTTTGCAAGGGCCAACGAGGTCGAGCGCGACCTCGCCGTCGACGAGGTGGACGAGCTCGAGGGCGAGCTCGTCGCGACGACGACGACCGACGAGGAGCTCGTCGTCCCCTCGGCGGTACCGGCTTCGACGGGCGCTCTCGTTCCGCTCCCGACGTTGCACCAGGCGACGGGCTACGCCCTCCTGCCCTTCGTCCTGCACCACGTCTGGCTCCACCGCCTGCTGCCCGCCTCGCCCGAGCCGCCCATCTCGTCCCTGTCGCCTTCCTTCTTCAACTACACGTTCTCGTCCCTCGCGCTCAACCACTCGAACCTCGTCGTGCGCCTCGGGTCGGCGGCGTCGTACGCGGCCCTGACGAGCCTCGCGACGTACCACGGCCTCGTCGGCGTGCGCATGCTCGTGTCGCCGATCGCGCCGCGGTCGCTCGCGCCTCGGCGGCGGCGCGCCGGCGAGCGCGACTCGGTGCGGCGCAAGGTGACGCAGGGGCGCGAGTGGCAGGCGGCGTGGGTCGCAGCGGTCGTCGGCGTGACGGTTGGAGCGGCGAGGATCGCGGGCTACTTGGGCGGCGACAAGGACGGGGTGCGGACGCCCGACTTTATCGCGCGGCGGATGGACTTTGTGCTGCGGCGAGGGTTTGGCCAGTCGTAGAGCTGTGTCGCAAGTGGTCATTGTGCAGTGCTTGAGGAGCGAGAGCGAGAGAAGGGGAGCGTGCACAGACCTCCTTTGTCTGGAGTTGGTCCGCCGGCTCCTCGTCGGCCTCCTCCTCCTCCCTCTCCCTCTCTCGCTTCACTCTCTCGATGGCACTCGCCTGAGCACCTGCATGCGCCCACTCGCACGGTCCAGCTTGCCCTTCTTCGACTCGCCCACGCCCTCGCCCTCACTCGCCGCCTCATCCGCCGCTCCCACCCCTCCCCGCACTCCGCTCGCCCTCACCCCCTCAACGGCGCTCGTCGACAGCGCCACCATCGTCCAGCCCGCCATCGCAGGCAGGCCCGTCAGCCTCAGCGCAAGCGTGCTCCTTCACGGCGGCAGCGGCGACAGCGTCCGAGCGGTGGGAGCGGGCTCGCTGGAGCGACACGAGCTGGGAACGGCGAGGGCGGGGCACAGCGTGGCGTCGGTGGACCTCGAGGGCCATGGCGAGGGAGTCGAGGTCGTTTGCGGCGCAGGCGGGTCGAGCATGGCGGCGTCGGGAGCGCGGCGGCACCAGCGGTACTCGACCTACACCACAGAGTGCCTCGATGAGCTACGTGCGTCCACTCTCGCTGCCTCTCTCGGACTCTTGAGCGGCGCTGACCTGCACCCCGAGCGCAGGTACCGCCGACGACGGCACCCTCTCGGCCTGGACGACCGGCCTCGAAGGTGCGTCCCGCCAATGCGTCGCACGGCAACAGAGCTGACCCGCTCGAGCCCCCAATCGCAGGTCCTCCGCCTCTTTCCACCTCACCGACCCATCCTGTGAGCGAGGCGACACTTACGCCGCCTTCACCGCACGTCCCGACGTCCGACTCGTGGACCTCGCTCGGCTCTTTCACCTGCCTCGAGACGCCCGCCCTGGCCCGCACGCCTCACTCGAGCCCGTCGACAGCCGCAACAACGACGTCAAGGTCGTCGTGCTCGCGCAGCGTCTTCTCGCCCTCACGCTGGCGCCGGGCGAGGACGTCGCAGGGCGGCTCGTCCTCGTCGCCGGCTCCTCCCACCCCGCCACGCCCTCGTCCTTCCCTCCCCGAACCGACGTCAGCCTCTCCTTACTCGACACTCGCCGCTGCTCTTCCAGCAACGAGTCGTATCCCACCTCGCGTCGTGCGCTTCGCCCCCCTTGCCCCTCGCTCGACCTCCCCCTCCCGTCCTTCCTCCAACCGCCCGCTCGCACCTTCCCCACCCGAGCCAGACTGGCACGTTGTCCCCTCCCGCCTGCGGTCAGACCCGAACGCGCAGGGCCAGGGCCACGGCGCGCCGCCGAGGAGAGAGCCCGGTCTGTGGGCGAGGTGGACGGCCCCGAGGCCCGTCGTGCGGGCGTGGGAGCGCGGCGACGAGGGGCTTTTGACGACTCCGAGGGCGAGCTCTTCGAGGGCGAGCGCAGGTGGGAGGACGGGCGGGCGGGAGCGGGGCGGCGCGAGCGGTTTGAGCTGGGGAGAGCAGGTCAGGATCGAGCTGGACAGGGCGGCGAGAGCGGCAGCCCGAGAGGCGGAGGACGAGGAGGAACCCCCAGGGTGACACGGTGTGTGTGCAACGCAGAGTTTCGTTTATCTCGGCTGAGCGAGAGCGTTGGAGCGATGTCGAGAAGTGCAGCGCGAGTCAACTTGAAAGCGGACGAGCGGACTCTTGGTCGAGGCATCCTTTCAGAGCGTCTTTGCCAATGTGAGGCAGCCCTCGAGCAGGTCCTGCGTCTCTCAAGAGAAGACGGGGCAAGGAGTTGTCGAGACGAGCGAGCGCGAGAGCGAGGAAACGGACGAAGAGAGGAGCGCTTTGACCCCTTGAAAGCGCCGACAGGCTCTCACGCGCAATGCCACCGTCTCGCACATTGTGGTCGCTCTCTCAGGCGTGACAGGCGTCCATCGAAGCCAGAGAGGCAGAGAGAGCGCTACTGTTCAAGTCGCGCTCGAGACGTGCGAGAGCGAGAAGGTCAACTTGGGAAGGCCGAGACGCGAGGCGAGCGAGGACGAGGTCATAACGCAGGCTCGCGATGCAGAGATGGCTAGAAAGGATGCTGGGTATGGACAGGGTATGTGTGGACGATGAATAAGGGCGAGGAGAGGGCAGTGTCTACAAGGCGGGGAGAGAAGGAACAGGAGGCGTCGGCTCGAGGATGGTCGCGCCGCGCTTGAGCAGTGGCGCCTTGAACGAAGCCATGCTGTTGGTGCGGTTCAGGTTGAACTCGCTCGGCATGACCGAGCTCGCGCTCGACATGATCGAGTCGGCCCTCGAGAGCTGCGCCGCCGGCACGCGCGCCCGACCGCCCTCGCGACTCGTCGTCGCGAGCCGGTGCAGCGTCGCCTGGCGCGTCTCGAGCGCGGCGACCTTGTTCTTGACCGAGGGCAGGACCGTCGACTTGCGCGGCGAGGCCGGCCGCTCGTGAGGGCTGCCGCCGGCGAAGAAGGATGACGGCGGGGGCGCGCTGCGCAGCTCGGCCATCGAGCGCGTCGGGCGCAGCGACGGCGACGGCGTCTTGACGACTCGCCGCACGGGCGAGGCCGGCGTGGCGACGGTCGGCGAGAGGGTCGGGCGGACGCCAAAGGTCGTGCCCGAGGCGAGGATGGGCGACACGCGCGGCGAGGCGATCGAGGGGCTGCGCGCCATGCCGAGAGCACGAGTCGCATCGGCCGTCGAGGCGACGTAGAGCGACGAGGCGGCGCTGCGGATCGACCTGGTCGAGCCCGCCTTGCGCAGGACGCCCGGGTTGCGCCTGAGCGAGGCGCCCGACGGTGTCTTGCGCAGCGACGACGGCTCGCGACCCGCCGCCGGTTGCACGTGCGAGGCCTTGCGCGGGCTGCTCGGCGCGGCGTGCACGACGGGCGGCGTCGGCAGCGGGCGAGTAGTCCGTGCGGCAGGGTGCTCGTCCTCGTCGACGACCGGGAGCTCGACGCCGGCCTTGATCGGCGACGATGGTGTCGCGAAGGCGAACGTGTCGGACGGGCGCCTCGACGAAGGCGAGGCCTTGACGGGCGACGACGGCGGGATCGGCGAGTGTCGCTTGACGGGCGACGCCGAGCGAGGAACAGCCGGCTCGGCTCGTTGCGGCGGCGACGACGGCGCTCGAGCGTGCAGAGACGTCGGACGATCGAGGTGCTCGTCCTCGTCCTCGCTAAAGTGCGACTGCAGGATCGAGTCGAGCTCGTCGTCCGAGTCTTGGTCGGCATCGACATGCGCGTCGGCGGGCTGCGAGGCGTAGAGGTCCTCGGGGCGCATCGGTTCGGGCTGGTAGTGGTGCCGGCACGGCTGCTGGTGCTGCTCTTGCGGCTGGTACCGAGACGACGGCTCGTGGTGGACGTGGCGGTCGAGGGCGGTCGGGTCGTCCGGAACCTCGTCGAGGTCGTCGAGCTGGATCCCGACGTCGTCGAGACCGAGGCCGAGGCCGAACTGGACGTCCGAGTGCAGGTTGACGGCGGGGAGCGTGAAGAGGTCCTCCTCGACGCCGCCGCCGTAGTAGCCCGCATCGGGCGACTCGTCGACGGCGAGCCTCGCCTCGTACAGGTCGCCGTGCGACGCCGCCGCGCGCAGCGTCGGCTCGCGCTCGCGCACGTTCGGGCTCCGCCGAGCTGTGGCGGACGCGATGGCCGACGAGATGCACTGGAGCGACATCTGGTGCTGCAGCTGGCGACGCTTGGCCCGGTCGACGACGACCTGGCTCCTCTCGGCCGGCGGGAGGTTCTCCTCGTCCGAGCGTGCCGACAGGTGCTGCGCCGGCGCCGGGCGAGCACGGTCGGCGACGGGCTCGGCACGAGGCAGGTCGCTCGTGCGGACCGACTCGACCGACGCGATGCGCGACAGCGGCGGTCGCTGCTGCCGAGGGCGGGCGCCGTTCAGGTCCTCCAGGCGGAGCGAGTCGTGGCTCGTCATGCGGCCGACCGTCGCCTGGGACGGGCGCACGGCGTCGCGAAGCTGGTTCGAGCTCCAGCTGCGGGCGACCGGGCGACGAGGCTGGTCTGGCAGCGGCGAGGGCCCGACGTGGCCGGGTGGCGGGTCGAGCGAGATAAAGTTGACGACGCGGATGGGGATGTCGACCGAGATGTCTGCCGACAGGGAGCCGCCGACCGAGACCTTGACCGAGTACGTGTTCTCGAGGTGCCGACCGCGAGCGATCGTGAGCGCGTCCTCCTGCAATGCGACACGTCAGGCACGATCCGCGAGAAGAGGTGGAGAGGGGAGAGAGACAAGGACGCACCGGGATGAGGAACGAGGGCGCAAAGTCGGCCGACTCGCCCGCCTCGACTCCCAGCCAGGTGCCCTTGGCCGTGACGCCCTTGGTGCCCTTCTTGCCCAGCTCGAGCGTCGTCTCGGCGACCTTCTTGCGCGTCGTCTGCGTCTGCGTCGGCTCACTCGACGACGCAGGGACGGCGTCGACGCCGAAGCCGTACAGGTCGCGCGGTCCGTGCGAGGTCGTGCGCGAGGCCGAGCGGTAGACGGCCGTGGTGCGGATGAGGGCGAGCGTGAGGGCCTTGACCTGTTGCGGGAGAGGACGAGTGTCAGTATGGCGCAGGCAGGACGAGGTTTGGGCGACGGAGAGGCGGACGGACCTTCTTGCTCGACTCGTTCGAGACGCGGACCTCGACGTAGCAGCGCTGCCCTGCGACCCACGTCTCGCGGTGGAGCGACGCGTGCAGCGTGACCTTGCCGCTGCCACCCATGAAGAGCGACTTGGCTGCGTCGGCCGTGAGCGGCTTGATGGCGGGCGCGAGCGTAAGCGCCGGGTTAAAATACGGGTACACCTCGACGTGGCGGTAGAAGTGGGCGATCGACCGGTCCGAGCCCTCCTTGGACTTGAGCTTGAGTGACCTGTGAAAGGGCCAGGACGAGTCAGGACGACGGAAACTGGCTCGGCGAGACGAGGGAGAGGTGGACGCACGCGATGGCGATGTAGCGAACGACGCCCTGCTTGCCCTTCCACGGCCCCTTGGCGCCCTTGCCGATCGGCAGGCTCATCTTGACGGCGACGTTGTGCTGCCCGCTCTTGCCGCGGTGGAAGCCCTCACTGTCGGCGGGCGAGTCGTAACACGCGAGCGGGTCGGTCGAGGTCGATGCCGGCGCCGAGGCGTGGTAGAAGATGTAGCGGCCGTCGCCCGACGAGAGCTCTGCGAAGAATGAGAGTCAGTGTCGGGTCGAGGAGAAAGGAAGAAGGAGGAGGGGGAGGAGGACGCACCCTCGAAGCCGATGACCCGGATCTTGGGCGTCCCGACCCAGACCTCGCCCTCGCGCTCCTTGCTCTTGCGGATGCGCACCTCGAGACGGCCCTTGAGGAGCCCGCCCTCGACGACGAGCGGCGTCTCGAGGGCGAGGTCGAGCTCGACGCGGGCGCCTTTGCCGTGCTTGGCCTGCTCGAGGACGACGGGCGACGGCAGCGACGCGACCTGGGCCGAGGCGTGCGAGGCGGCACGAGGCTGGGTCGAGTTCGTGACGGCGGACGAGGTGGTGGACGGCGTAGGCGACTGGGCGATCGTGCCGAGGCTCGAGATGCCGGCGTGTCGGCTCGTCGGGGCGAGGAGGCGGTCGAGCTCCTTGCGGCGCCGAACCGTGCTCGCGCCGGCCGTCAGGAGCGTACTCTGCCGCTGCAGGCCGCTCGCTCCCGGCTCGCGCTGCGGCGGCGGGGCGAGCGAGATGACCGTGCCGACATCGTCGTCCCCCTCCTCCGCCTCGAGCGCCTCGTCGTCAACCGTCTCGAGACGAGCTGCTCCTGGCTCTTGCGGCAGCGGCACCTGCTCCTCGACTCGACGGGACGCCTCGCGGTCGGCGAGCTCCTTCATCTCCTTGGCCGACAGCGAGCGCGACCGCACGCGCTCGAGCGGCCGGATGACGCCCTCGGACTGAGTGCGCTCGCGCGGCCGGCCCTCGGACGCTCGCAGCCGCCGCCGCTCGTCGAAGTCGCTCTGGAGCTGGCGCTCGAACTGACGGCGCTGGAGCGCGCCGGCGCTGCTCGGCACGCTCTCGGCCGGCGAGTCCTGGAGGTGGTCGTACCGGTCGCTCGGGCTCGCGTCGTACTGCGCGTGCTCGACGTGCTCGGCGTACGGGGCGTGCATCGACGACGGCGGCGAGGTGCGCTCTCGCGCCTGCTGCGACTGCCGCAGCTCGACCATGGAGCGAGGTCGGGCAAGGGCCTGCTGGCGGTCCTGGAGGAAGGCCGGGAGGCGGGACGGGCCTCGCGAGGGGGACGGCTGCTGGGCGTGGTGGAGGTCGGCGTGCGAGGTGGCGTGCGGGTGGTTGCGGATAGGGTAGGCGTCGTGCGGGAGGGCGTGCGAGGGGAAGGAAGGGTAGGCGCCAGCGTCGGTCGACGAGGGGAGGGACGACAGCGACACTGGCGAGAAGGGCTGCGACGACCCGGTGCCCGAGTTGGACGACTGCGCAAAGTCGGACAGGGGCGACAGGTGGTGCTGGTCGTACGGGAGGTAGCCGCCCTTGCCGTTGAGGACCTCGGGCGTGCCGGCGGCGATGCGGACGCGCTTGTGCGCGCTGTCGCCCGACGTGTCGGACGGGTGACGGTACATGGGCTGGGCGGCGTAGTGCCCGTTGAGGGCGGCGTCGTACGAGACCGAGTGCTGGAGGCGGTGGTGGTGGGCCGCCGCGTGGGCAGCGACGGCTGGCGCATGAACGGGGTGGTGCGGCTGGTGGTAGCCTCGTACACGCTGCTGGATGCTGCCGTATGCGTCGAACGTGATGCCGAGGCCGTCCATGACGAGGTGGCCTCGATGTTGTTGAGCGAAGGTGATGAGGTTTGGCGAGGCGCGCTCTCGGTGCGGCGAGCGGCTGTGGACGGGTGGACGCGGGACGAGGACAGGCCGACCGCGCAGCAGCAGACTCTGCGCTGGGCGTGGAGCGGCGAGTGGTGGTAGCGGGGAGGATGGACCCGCTCGATCTCTCGGCGCGGTTGACGGAAGCATCCACGAGCTAGCCCTCTCGTGCTGCCCAGCAGTTTCGAGCCCATCCCTCGCTACAACAGTCAATCGATGACAGACAGAGACATGTACACGCGGCCGCACCGACGGTCGACGAGGTGCCCTCCTCGAGCTCCTCCTCCTCTCCTCGTCCGCGCTCCCTCACGGCCTCGGCTGGTCCGCCCTCGCTCGCCGCTCCCCCTGCTGCTCCGCCAAGCTGCGAGCGATCCGCTCGTCCTCCACGAGTGCCCGTTGCCGCTCGGCGTCTTCCTCCTCCCTCAGCCTCCTCGCGAGCGCCTCATCGGCCCTCTCCCTCTCGCCGCGCTCCTCGGCCTCGCGCCTCCTCTCCTCCTCCCTGAACCGCCGCGCAAACTCTTCGTCCTCCCGCTCCCGCTCCCGCTGCGCGAGTGCCGCCGCCGCCCGCTCCTCGTCGAGCAGCCGCCGGACCGCCTCCTCGTCGGCGGCGCGCCGCGCAGCCTCGCGCTGCCGCTCAGCCTGCTCGGCCTCGTCGGCGAGCTGCGCCGCCATGCGTGCGTCCTCTTCCTCCTGCGCCCGACGAGCAGCGCGGACCCGCTGAGCCGCCTCGACCTGCGCGAGCCGCTCGCGCTCGATGCGCGCCGCCCGCTGCGACGCCTCCTCGTGCGAGGGGCGCAGGCGCTCGGTCTCGAGCCGTCGGCGGTCTGCAGCCTCCTGCTCGCAACGCCGGCGCGACTCTTCTTCTTCTCGCTGCCGCGCTCGCCGCGCCTCGTCGTCCGCCCGGCGCCGCGCCTCGTCCGCCTCGCTGCGCCGCCGCGCCTCCTCGGCCCGCCGGCGCTCCTCGTCCATGCGCACACGCTGCTCCTCGATGATGCGCGCGCGCCGCTCGGCCTCTCGCCGCTCGGCGTCGCTGTGCGCCTCGGCTGCGGCGGCGCGCCGAGGCGTGAGCGTCACGCTGCTCCCGCTCGCGTCCGACGCGTACGACGGCGGCGGGGGCTCGTACGCCTCTCGAGACGACGAGGCCTCGCGGTGCTTCGACTCGAGGGAGGGCGTCGGCGAGGGGCGGATGTCGCCCGACGGGTTGGGCGGGAGCGGGCGAGAGGCGGCGCTCGACGGGCGCTGCTCTGCTGGATGAGCGGCGGGATGCGGCGACAGGGACGAGCGTCGGTGGTCGAGAGGAGGAAGGGGAGGTGCGGGCGAGGTGGTGAGCGCGAGGTCGAACGGCGCGGGCGAGGTGGACGTCGCGAGGGGCGGACTGGCGGGCATAGCGCCCGGCATCCGGCTCAGGCTGGCGACGCTCGCCGCACTCGATGGCCGAGGAGGTACAGGAGGTCGGGATGGGCTCGGTGAGGGGGAACGAGGAGGGAGCGAGGTCGAGGGGAAGAAGGTCGTCGACGAGGGCGCCACCGCAAACGGCGGGCTCGGCTCGGGCGACGCGTAGTAAAGCTGCGACGGCGAGTGTGACGGAACGCGAGGAGCCGCCTGCGACGGGTGCGGAGGATGTGGCGAGGTCGAGGGGTGCGGGCTCGGGAACTGGGCGGCCGGGGTGCTCGACAGGCGAGGCGCGGTAAAAGCGGGCGTGTGGTACTGCGCCGGCACCGGGTACGTCGCCGCAGCGAGCATCGTCGGCTGCGAGACGGCGATGGCGGGCGCAGTCGAAGCGACGCGAGGAGGCGGGTACGACGCCGCATGCTGCGCCGGCGTCGCCGGCCACGGCGCCGTCTCGGAGCGTTGAGCAGGGCCGGACAGGCCGACGACTGAAGCTGCACCGGGGCTCGGCAGCCGACCGGCCGAGTAGGCGAGACCGTGCTGCTGCGCCGGCGGCTCGAGCGCCGACGGCGGGGGCGGAGCTTGACGGGTCGGGCGACCCGGGCGAAGCGAAGCCGGTAGTTGCGGCGACGAGTCGAGCTCGCCAGGAAGCGGCAATGACACGTGGTCCTCGAGGCTGGTATGGCGGCGCGCCTCGTCGTGAGTGGACGGCGCCAGGTCGTGCACGGCCATCTGGCCGAGCTGCTGAGCGAGGGCGGGTACGCGGGCGAGGACGGATGGCGACGAGTGATGGCCTGCTGGTTGAGGACGAGCGACCTCGGCAGACTGTCGCTGCGGGAGAGAAAGATTCGTGAGCATGCGAGCCCGAGAGGCACCGCGAGAACAAGGACGAGAAGGACGCACCGGTGGAGGTTGCTCGGGCTTGTAGAACGTGAGCTCGAGGTAGACCTCGCCCTGGTACTTGCCGTCGCGCTTGAGCGTGACCCATTCTGCAGGACAGACGAGAGAGGTCAGCCCCGACCCGACGACCTGCGCTCGAGCGAGGAGAACGAGGGGACACACGGTCGAAGTGGTCCCACGATCCGTCCACCATGATGCGCGCCTCGCCGACGAGCTCGATGTCGGCCGCTCCGTCGCGCTCCCGCCGCTTGACCTTGACGACGAGGTGCTGGCGCGGCGAGCCATCGACCTCGAACAAGCGGAACCGGAACTCCTCGTCCCACACTGCGCGCTTGGTCGCCAAGATCAGCCCCACTTTGCGTGCTGAAGGCGCAGGAAGGGCAGAGAGACAGCGCGGCGCACCTGGTCCCTCGCCTCGTCCTCGCTCATCGACCCGCGTGCGCGTCTTGGGGTCGACCGAGCCCGTGAGGGCCAGCTCGACGAACGGTGGTGGTCGCGGCTGCTCGGCAGCATCGCGAGAGCCGCAGTCGAGGTTCCTGGCGCGGTCGACGACGGCGACGAGCAGGCCCAGCTCGCGACCGCGGACGTTCTTCGGTGGAAGAGGCGGTGGGCGCACGCGCTCCTCGGGAGGCGGCGGGGCGGCGGGCAGCATGGCGTGGCGGGTGCTGTAGCTGCTGCTTGTGGTGCTGGCGCGCAGAGCGGGCGCGGGTGAGACGAGGGAGCGGACCCGAGGCGGACGAGAGCTGCGACACGATGATCAAGCGAGCGAGGCGGTGCAAGTCGGACGAGGTCTCTCGCTCGGCAGCTCGAGAGAAGATGCTCGTTACGACAACACTGTGACTGATACTGAGCAAGAGAGACGAGACCCAGAGAGACGCCGCAGCTCGACAGCGCGACGTCGACCTCCTCTTTGTCGACAACCTCGAAGCGTCCTCGTCGTCCGACGCACGCATGAACCGCCCACTGCGCCTCCCTCACGCTCCAGCCTCTGCCTCTGCCGTCGTCCTCAGCTCCCGCAAGAGCGCCTGCGTCCGCTCAAACACGCCCTCGAGCCTCCTCTTCGTCTCGTCACTCATGCCGTCCTCCTGCTCGTGCTCGTCGCCCTCGACGATCGGGTCGCCCTCCTCCTCGCTGAGCGGGTACTCGGCGTCCGGGTCGAAGCCGCGCTGCTGCGCGACGAACGGCGTCTGGCCGCCCGCGAGCGACAGCTCGCCGTCCTGGAGCGTCGGCGGCGGGACGCCCGTGAAGTGGAGCGAGAAGGAGCCGTCGGCGGCGGGAGGATCGGCGTAGGCGTCGGGGAAGCGCGAGTTGGTGGTCGTCGTGGTGCGGGAGGGGAAAGACGAGGAGGAAGAAGAAGGCGGGAGGACCTCCTCAAAGTCGACGCCGTCCTCGTCGTCCTCGTTGTCGCCGTCGAGGGCGTCGTCGGGGTTGATGACCTCGCTCGGGGTGGCGACAGACGCGTCGAGTGACATGGCGTCGTCGTCGGTCGGGTCGCCGGCCGTCGACGCGTCCGACATGAGCGACGGGGTCGTGGCCCCACTCGCGAGCTCCATCTCGTCGTCGCCGTCGTGGCGCTCGTCCGGCTCGCTCACTCGCGGGGGCGCAACGAGGTCTCGCTGGCGGAGAACCTGCTGGAACGGGTCGTTCTCGAGCGGGACGAACTCGGGCAGGCCGAGCGAGACGGCGAGCACGCCCTGGAGGTCGCGCACGAGCGAGTCGAGGCGGACGCGGTCGGTGGTGCGGAGGGGTGGGGCGCCTTGGTGTGCGTCGCGTTGTGGTGGTGCAGGGGAGGGTGGTGCGGGTGCGCCTCGTGCCGAGTCCCAGTCGCGGCCCTCGAGGACGGCAGCCCAGCCGTGGTCGAAGCAGGCGAGGGCGTCAAAGAGGTGCGGGAGGGTCGAGTCGTCGAGGGTGTAGCCGTCGCAGGCCGGTGCGAGGTAGCCAGTGAGCTGGAGGAGGTAGGCGACGCGGAGAGAGTGGGAAGGTGGGGCGGCCGGGATCGAGAGGACGAAGGCGAGGAGCGGGAGGATCTGTGGCCGGGGGGTTGCGCGGGTCAGTCGGGGCTTGCAAGGGACGAGTAGAGAGACTACGGACCGTGTCGAGGAAGCTGGCGAGGGTCGGGAGGCGAGCGGATGGACCCGAGTGACGCGACTCGAACCCTCCAGAGAGGCGCAGGAGCTCTTGGTCGAGGTACCGGATCAGGCGCGACTCCTGGGTCGCAGTGAGTGGCGGTTTGGGCATGGCTGTGCTGTGGTTGAGCGATGAGCTGCTCGCGGCCGTGTGGTCCTCCTCGAGCTCGACGAACTGGCGACCACCTCCTCCCTCGACCCCGCTCGCTCGCCATGGCCAAGAGCACTACCGCCGACAAGCCAAAGTCCAAGGGCAAGGCAAAGCAGCCCACCCCGCCTCCGCCCGCCTCGCCCTCGTCCCGCTCCAACTCGCCTTCGTCCTCGTCCGCCTCTCCCAGCGACTCGAGTGACGACGACGACCACTCCGACAAGGGTTCGGCCCGTAGCTCTGCATCGCCCGAACCCGAGGCACCAAAGCAACCCGCCCGCATCGTCGATCCGTCCCTGCGGTCCGTCCCTCCTCCTCGTCCTCGTCGCTCAGCTCGACGAGCTCTTGGCTCACTCCCACCCGCCCCGCCTGCAGCAAGTACACCCCGCCATCTGGCTTTAAGCCCCTCAAGGCGACCGTCGACAAGGGCGCCCTCGACTGGGACGACCTGCGCGACGACCCGGACCTCGAGCTGTGGGCTGTGCGCGTTCCCGTCGGCGTGCGTCCCTCTCTCCCTCTTCCTTGCCCTCCCACACACACACACTGACACTGACGATCGACGCACGACGCGCAGCTCAAGACCAAGCACCTCGACGGCCTCACGCTCACGCTCCCGCCGCCAGAGCTCGGCACGCCCTCGCAGCCCGTCGGCCACCTCTCGGCCAAAAAGGCCGAGTACGACGCCTTTCTCACCGTCCCGACCTCGAGCACCAAGCGCAAGCGCGGCGAGGCGGCCCCCGAGGAGGCCGAGGGCGCCGGTGCGCGCGCGGGCGAGCTCGCCGCTGCGGTCCCGCTCGTGCCCCGCAAGTCGCACGGCAACAAGCTCTTCCAGGGTGCGCCCCGCTCTCTCTCTAGCTCTCTCTCCGACGCACTCCCGTACTGACAGTCCCCCTCGAACCCTCGCAGCCCCACGCCCGATCGCGCGCACCCTGACGCTGCAGCGCGCCCTGCCCGCGGGCGTCGTCACCAACCCGACGACGGCGCACCTGCTCAAGACGTCGCACTCGTCCCTGATCGCCTCGCAGCCGTCGCCCGTGCCCGGCTCGATCCTCGACGCCGACGCCCTCTTGCTCGCACCCGCCGAGATTGCCGCGCGCAAGGAGGCCGTCCGTGGAAAGGGCGCGCGCGACCAGCCCGACGAGCTGCTTGTGTTCCGGCTCGGCAACTTTGGCGGCATGGGGCCCGAGGGCGGCAAAGGGCGGTACCACAACCCGATGGCGCGCGTCGTCAGGGCCGAGCGTGTCGAGGTCGGCGAGGGCGACGAGGACGAGGAGCGTGCGGGTGCGGGTGCGGGCGAGGACGTCGAGATGGCCGATGCGGCAGCGGCGGGCGGCGAGGGTGCGGACGACGACGACAAGAAGAAGGTCAAGCAGGAGCGCAAGGACAAGAAGGAGCGCAGGAAGAGCGAGGCGGCCGGCGGCGACATCGCAGAGTCGCCCAAAAAGAAGAAGAAGAAGGTCAAGGCCGAGGAGTCGTAGCTTGCCCTTGCACACCGCTCTCTCTCTCTCTTCTCCTGCGCCCGACATCGTGAGAGAATTCGAAAGATTGCACTGCCGCTGCTCCATCCCGCTCACGACTCGTCGCCCGACCCGCTCGCGTTCGCCTCTGAGCCCCCTGAGCCCGAGCCCGAGCCCGAGCCGGACCCATCTGCCTCGCCGTCGTCGTCGTCCTCGTCGTCGCCGGACCCACTCGCCGTCGACGCGTGGCTGCCAGACGACCCGGTCGCGCTCGCGTCGGCGTCCTCGATGTCGGCGTCGAGGTCGACGACGGGCGCCGCAGCGTCGTCGCCGGTGGGCGGGAGTGGAGCAGCGTCGTGTCGTGGGGGCGAGTTGCCGAGCTCGAGGGCCGAGTCGAGGCCTTGGTGAGGCGAGGTCGAGAAGGCCGACTGGGCGCGGAAGGGGAAGGGTGAGCGAGCGGGACGAGGGAGAGGGAGAGAGGAGAGAGAGAGGGAGACGCACGTCGGCGTCCTCGTCGTGGGTGTGTTGGCGGCCGAGCGGGACGAGCCACGAGTGGCCGTAGTGGCGCAGGTTGAGGACCTGCGAGATGCGAGAGGAGAGAGGGGCTCAGTGAGGCGGCGAGGGAGAGGGTACGAGTGGGGGCGAGGGCGCACCTGGGCGTAGTGGTCGTCCTCGTCCTTGTCGAGCTGGTCGAGGTGGTCCTGGAGGGAGCGGGGTGGGGTGCCAGGCGGGTGTTGCGAGGTGGAGCGGCGCGAGGCGGGGAGCGAGGCAGGGTCTGGGTGAGGGCGCGGGTCGGACAGGTAGGCGAGTGAGGGTGGCAGGAGCGAGGGCCAAGGTGCTGGGCCTCGCAGAGACGCAGGAGAGCGCGGCGTCGGCATCGCTCAGTTGGCTGATGAGGAGGGACGACGAGGGACGGGCGACGAAGGGCGCTGTTGGCGTATGGTCGCCTCTCAAGTCGCTAGAGGAGGTCTGCGAGGCTGACTGGCAGTCGCACAACGCCCTTGAGCCGTGTGAGCGAGAGCGACAGCTGTTCGGTCGTAATACCTCTCGTCGTCGCTCTCGCCTCGACAGCTCGCACCCACCGCTTTGCCGAGTCGAGCACTGCCCAAGATGGCCCCAAAGCGCCCTGCCACAACCTTTACCCAGGACCAGCCCACGTACGTCCCCGCGCCCCCTCTCCCCACCGCCTCATCTCTCCCCCCTCGTCCTCCCTCCCCCACTCACGTCCGTCTCCCTCGTCCCCCAACAGCGACCGCGCAGCAGCAGCCCTCGCCGGCAAGCGCGTAAAGTTTGCCCCGAACAACGCCGACAACGTCGCCGCCGACCCCGACGCCGACGACCTCCAGCTCGACCTCGACCAGGACGGCGCCGGGCCCTCGCGCAAAAAGGGCAAGGTCACCACCGAGGGCTACGACTCGGACTCGTCGGCCGACTCGGACGGCGGCTTCGGCGGCGCAGGCGGCGGCCGCAAAGGGCGCGGCGTCGGCGCCCAGGCCGCAGAACCCGACACGCACGACGACGACGACGACGACGACGACATGTTTGGAGGCGCACCAGAGCAGCGCGACACCGGCCTCGACACCAAGGGCAAGAAGAAGGACAACGAGTTCCTCGAGATGGGCGACATCGAGGGCCAGGAGTTTGGCAAGGGCGGCGACAGCGATGATGACGCCGACGACGACGGTGCGCTCGAGGACGAGGAGGACTACCTGCCCGAGGACGACGAGGCCAACGCCGACGAGGCGCCGAGGGGCCGCCGCAGCAAAAAGGGCATGGGCTACTCGCTCAGGTGCGTCCCCCTCTTTCCCTCCCTTCTCTCGCTCGTCACCTCTCGCCGACGCGCTCTCGCCCGGCCGCAGCTCGTTCAACATGAAGGAGGAGCTGTCCGAGGGCCGCTTCTCGGCCGACGGCACCTACACGGCCAACAACAAGGACCCGCTCGCGTCGCACGATGTGTGGCTCGACGGCCTCTCGAAGCGCTCGATCCGCGCCGCGCGCGAGGCCAAGGACCGCCTCGACCAGCGCCAGCGCGACAAGGAGCGCGACGAAGCGAGGAGCGACGACCAGTTGACCCAGCTGCGCGACGACTGCATGATTGGCCTCGTCGCGCTCGTCAGGCCGGGCGAGACGGTCGCGAGGGCCCTCCACCGCCTCGGGACGGCCAAGAAGCGCGCCGAGGCGACGGCATCAGCGGCGACGGCGGGCGAGGGCAAGGGCCACAAGGCGTCGAGCTCGACCGGTGGCGGCAACGACGCCATGGACCTCGACGACGGCGCGCCCAACCCTTCCACCTCGACCTCGATCACGTCCCCCTCGACCGCCTCGGCCCCCTCGCGCTACGCGTCGCGCATCAACCGCCTGACGCACTACGCCTCGACGCTCCTGTCGCAGCACGGCGAGCTCGAAATCTACGACGCGTCGCACGAGCACCTCGTCGAGACGCTCAAGGGCGAGGGCGCCGTCCGGCGCGACTGGCAGCCCCCGGTCGACCCGGACCTTGCCCAGGACGAGCTCGAGGCGGGCGAGGCGGCCGGCCGAGAGCGCGACGAGCGCGAGAGGGCGAGGGACGAGCGCGCTCAGGCCATGGGCAGGTCGCGCGTCGTCATCGCGCGCCCGACCGCCGCGGCCTCGTCGTCGTCGGCGGCGACGGCCTCGAACGGCGCCGCAGGAGCGCGAGGAGCGGCGGGCGAGCCCTTGTTCTGGTACCGCTGGAAGGAGGCGCCGGCGGGCCAGTCGCCCGACCAGGAGTACGGGCCTTACGACCGCAAGACGCTCGCGACCTGGGTCGCCGGCGGCTTCTTCGGCGACAAGGAGGACGCGGGCAGGATCGTGCTCCGCCGCGAGGGGCAGCAGGGCGCGGCGGGAGCGACGGGCGCGCACGAGTGGAAGAGCTGGAAGGAGGTGCGGTAGCGTCCTCGAGCGTGCAACTTTTGAGTCGCTTGCCGATACTCTCGTGCTCTCCTCGCGTCGTGCCTGGGCCGAGAAGAGATGCTGGGCGTTACAGGCTCGAGAGAGAGAGACGGAGAGAAGGGCACAGACGGTCGGCGGGACAACAGCCGGGCGACGATGAGAGCTATCCACAAAGAGGGGCTACTGACAGAGCGGGATATAGGCACGACAGGAATGACACTTTTGAGAGGGGCGCAGAGGTGGGAGGCGTCGCCGAGAGGCGAGAGATGAGGACAGAGAGGAGGGAGGAGGGGTCCGAGCGGGGCAGGATCAAGGGGCGTATCTGCAGGTTCGGGAGGGGGACAAGGTCAGGGTCTGTCGCTCCAAGCGCATCGAGAGGAGAGAGAGAGAGGGACGCACTTGGAAGGGCCAAAGAGGCTCGAGAAGAAGGCCTGCTCGTTCGCCTTCTTGGCGCTGACCGGGTCCTTCTTGACGGCGCCGACAGCTCCCTTGACCGGGTCACCGCCGAGAGGAGCCATCAGGCGCGTGCTCGGCCCGGCAGCATCGTCGACGCTCTGCAGCGACGCAGCCGACGACGAGCCCGAGCTGGACGACGACGCCGACATGGCCTGCGGCACGAGCTGCGGCGTCGGGACCGACTCGCGGCGTGTCGGGCGGTGGTGCGCCGGCGGAGGAGGCTGTAGAACCGGGACCGCGGCGAGCGGCGGCGGCGGCATGCTGAAGAGGTCCGAGCCGTCGCCGAACAGGGCCGGGTCGAACGTTGCTGCGTCGAACGAGGGTGTCGGGAGCGCGGCGGCCGAGGCCGTCAGGGCGTTGAGCGCGAGTGCCGAGGGCGGGTAGGTCGGCAGGTCGTGGGCATGAGGGCCGTCGAGGTGCGAGTGCGAATGCAGGTGCGGCTCGCCGTCGAGGTAGTGCGCCGCCGAGGAGGCCGCCGGCGCCGCAAAGCACGCCTCGTCAAAGGCGCCCTCAAGGCCGGCAACGTCGACGTGCACCTCGTGAGGCGGCGACAGCCCAGCGAGCGCCGCAGCGTCGTCGAGCGGGAAGCTCGCGAACGCCTGGTCCTCGAACGGGTTGTGCTCGCGCGCCGGTGCGGCGTGCGACAGCGCCGGCGGCGACTGGCTCAGGCCCATGAGCGCCGGCGAGTGTAGGTCGTACGCCGTCGACGACTGGAGCCAGACGTGCTGCAGGCGCTCGTCGGCGGCGTCGTGCTGGACGAGTGGCGGCGGGGCGAGCGGTGTGTGCGCGATCTGGCCCCACGGCGTGTGCGGCGTCGTCGCAGAGCCGAGAGGCGTCGCCGTTGCGGCGCCGGGGACGCCGAGCGCATCGCGGCGGACGAACTGGGTCGGCGAGGGGATGCGGAGCGAGAGGTTCGGGTGGTGCGGCGCTTGGTGACGAGGGGGGACGCCCTGCCGCGGGAGGCGGGGAAGAGGAGGAGGGAGCATAGAGCCGAGCTCGTGCTCGCCGAACGAGGAGGACGGCTGCGCCATACGGGCAGGCGAGGTCGCGCTGCGGACCATGGGTGGCGCGAGGCCGCCCGCGGCCGAATACGACGGCTGGATGCCGCGCTCGGCGACGCGCGGTCCTCGCGGCGACAGCGAACGACGCGTCGAGAGGAACGACAGCTCGGCGCTGCCCTTCTGTGCGCCCTCGGACAGCCCGACGTCGTACGCGACGACGAGGACGACGTCGCCGACGTCGCTGCCGCGCAGCGCCGGCCCGCCGACCGGGTGCGGCAACGGCGCACTCTCGTCGAAGCTGACGAAGAACTCCTGCACGATCGAGATGCCCTGGAGGCTCTCGTGCAGCTCGAACCGCGACTTGCCCGTGCGGGCGAACGCGCTCGCCGCCGACGGGTGGCGCAACGACGACGGGTCGTACGGCTTGAGCGGGTCCTCGTCCAGGTAGGCCGTCCACCAATGCGGCGAGAACGGGACGTCGTAGGCGTACGCGTGGCGGGACGAGCTCGCGAGAGGAGATCGGGCCCACGGCGAGGTCGACGGCGGGGCGACGGCGTTGTCGAGGCGGTACGGGACGCTCAACGGGTCGATGAACTGGGCGGCGAGCACGCCGTCGTGGTGGAAGCTCGTGATGACCTGGAGGTTGAGCTCTTGAAGCGAGTGCAGGGCGAGGTGCGTGTGGATCTGGTCCTCGAGCCCGCTCGACTCGTGGGCGGTGGGGACGTCCAGGTTCAACTTGACGTGGAGGAACTGGCACGGCTGGCGCTCGATCATGTCGGGCAGCATCGGGTACCGCTTGACGCCGCCGGCGAGGTCCTCGACGAACGTCTTGCCGACCGGCTCGGCGCCGAGCGGCAGTCGCGCGAGTACGTGTCCGTGTTGGCGAGAGCTCGAGGTCGGGACGGCCCACATCGACAGGTCCGTCGGGAGGAAAGGGCACGACGGCGGGACGGCCGCCGGCAGGACCGTCATCGTCTCGAACGCGTTGGCGAGCTGCGTCGTCGGCGTCGCGACGCCGTGCGCCGGATGCATGACGAACGGCGAGTGGAGGGCCGACAGGGGCTGGTCGAACGGCGAAAAGGGCCCGAGGCTGGCGGCGGCCGAGATGTCGATCCTGGGCTTGGCCGTCGCCGTGATCGGCGCGTCGAGCCGAGCGTACGGCGAGTCCTCGCCGAAGAAGAGCGCGGCGTTGTTGCCCTCGAAGTGGGCCTCTCCCTCCTCAGGCTCCTTGGCGTAGTGCATGACTGCGTACGGGAGGAAGAGGTCAGGCTCGGGGCTCGTGCGACGGACGACGTGACGTGGCGGAAAGGTGGACGCACACTCGGGGTCGAGGCTGAGCTGGTGCTTGAGGCACTGCAGGTGCGAGCTGATCTGCTTGCGCGAGCGCTCCTTGCCCGTCGTGCGCAGGATGTAGTCGCCGATGAGCTCGTTCCGCCCTTTGGCCTTGCCCTCGATGATGAGCTTCTTGCGCCCGAGTCGAGGCAAGAGACGAAGTGCTGCGTCGAGGCATTCGGGTCAGTCTCGGCTTCGAGAAGGCGAAGGAGAGCGCGAGAGACACAGACTGGACGCACCGCAGTGGAAAGCGCTGTTGATCTCGGCGGGCCAGACGTCCTCGCCGTCCTTGCCAAAGCCGACTCGCGGGTTCGACCCTCCATCTCGCTTGCCGTCGCCAGGCGGCGTCGGCAGGCCCGCATCGGCGAGCGTGCGGCGGCGCTTGATGCGAGGCCGACGAGGCTTGCCGTGCGGGTCAAAGTCGTCGTCGACCTGGCCGAGCGGGCTCGTGTTGGCGGCGCCGTAGGGCGAGTACGGGCTGAAGGAGGCTTGAGCTGAGGCGGAACGCGCCATCGGGGACGAGTACAGGGTGGCGGGCGACGACAGGAGGCCGCCGTCGGTCCTCGGCGACGAGTCGAACTGGAAGGCCTGCGTCCCAGGCGACCTCGACTGGGGCGACGACTGCGGAAAGCGCATGCCGGGCGTCTGCGGCTGAGCGTCTTGGAGCGTGCGCTTGCGGACCATGCCGTGTGACGAGGGCCCACCGGGCGAGGTTGTGCTCGAGGGGGAAACAGGGCGGCTGCGCATCGTGCGGTTGCGGGACGGGGTCGTCGTGCGAGTAGTTGCGGCTGTACGAGGTGCGCAGATAGTCAGCGACTGTGCCCCTCGCTCTGGAGTCACTCGAGGACGCGCGACGCGTCGGCATTGAGAGGACGAAGGGCTCACCTGATGCGACGATGGCCTTGGCGGGCGTACAGGGGACAGGTGCTGGTGCGAGTCGATCTGCTGAGCGGTATGCACGCGCGTTCACGCCCTCCAGGGTCGTGTGAGGTCGGCGAGTCGGCCGCGAGATGAGGTGCCGGTGGACCAAGGGTGGGCGGCGCTGCCGGGCGAGGAAGAGCTTGGCGGGGCGGTTGCGGCTGCGCTCGACGTGTCCAGCACGTGTCGGCGTCCGGAGCTGGTCCTTGCAGTGCTCGCAGGGTGGCGAGCGAGGTGGGAAGAGGAGCAGAGCACACTCGTCGGGTGACGACCCAAGACGACCCTCGCCCGACATGCCAGAGTGGTCTCGCTCCGTTCCGACCGTTGACTTCCGTGCCGGCAGCCGTAACTACGCAACGGTGGTGCTTTCATTCCTGCAGTCACGCGAGATCTCGCCGTTGGACCGAGGAATGCTGGCGAGCCAATCAAGCGCGGCCACGGCGCTCAAGCCCGCACGAGATGACGAGACGACATTGCAGCGACGGTACGAGAGAGAACGAGCGACGAGGGTAGGAACAAAAGACACGGGTCCGACAGATCGAGACGGGGGTACAAGCTCCGACGAGAAGGAAGGGAGACGACGACGACGAAGGGAAGGGGGGAGAGCGACGCGACAGCGCCCTACTCGTACATGCCGTACAGCGACATGGTGGCACTGCGGTAGCTCGCGTCCTGCTGGCCCTGCTTGCCCGCCATGACGTCGAGGCTGTCGAACCCTCCCGCACCGACCGGGTCGACGACGATGATCTGGGGCGCCTTGTGCTGCGCAAAGGCGTCGCGCGACGGCGACGGCGACGGCGAGACGTCCATGAAGGACCGGACGGTCGGGTCGTGCGGGTGAGAGTGCGTCGACGGGTGCGAGAAGTGGAAGACGGGGGTCTGAGGCGTGACGAGGGAAGGGGAGGACGCGACCGACGACGGCGACGACCGAGCCGAGTCTCGCGACGACGAGAGCTCGGGCGTGGCGGGCAGACCGAGCTGCTGCAGGACGTCGCGCTCCGCCGTCGAGAGCGTAAGCGGGTTGCGGCGGTCCTCGGCGGCCGGCGTCGAGGGCCCGTCGTGCGCCGAGCTGGGGTGCGGCTGCTGCTGGTGGGCGAGCGAGGCGTTGCGGGCGAGGCGCAGAGGTGCAGGTGCGGCGGGCCGGGTCGACACCTTGCGCTGCAGGGCGGGGCCCTTGACCGACGACTGGCGCGCCGGCGGGTTGATCGTCGCCGGGCCGAACACGTCGCCGCTTGACGATCCAGGAGGCGCCTGCGACGACGAGAGCTGCTGCTGCTGCCCGATCGACGACGCGTCCTTGGCCGGGCTGCTCCTCGCGCTCGCCGCGATCGAGTTGGACGACAGCTCGCCGACCTCGCCCGAGGCCGAGTAGATCGAGTGCTCGTAGCGCTGCGTCGCGCCGTACGGGCTGTGCGCCCCAGAGCCCGTTGCCGTCGCGGCCGAGAGCGGCGAGAGCGAGTCCTTCGAGTCGGACTCGGGGACCGGGCCGAGCGCACGACGCGCGAAGCCGAGCGGGGCGACCGTGACGGCCGGCGCGTGCTGCGGCGGCGCCGAGGCGTACATCGACGACGCGTCCGAAGTGCGGAACGACGGCGAGGACGAGCCGCCGAGACGGACGCCGGCTGCGGCAGCGAGCCCGCTCAGGTCGCTCGCCTCGCTCGCGCGCACGCCGTGGTGCTGGTGCTGCTGGTGGCGCGGCGGGAACTGGTCGAACATGGCCTCGAGCTCGCGCAGGGGCTTCGAGTCGACGCGGCTCGAGTAGCGACGCGGGTTGGACGGCGCCGGGGCGCGAGTCGAGGCGGGAAGGGGATGGGAGGGAAGGCCGACGACGTGATCTGCGGCAGGCTGTTCATCAGTCGCCGTCCTCACAGACCATCGTGGCCGAGACAAAGAGAACGGGGACGCACCACGCTCCTCGTCCTCGTCGTCCGAGTCGGCCTCGCCGCCGTACGCGTCGGTCAGGCCGATGATCGTGTCCTTCTTGCTCCTCGCCCTCGCCTGCTCGTCTCGCCCGACCTGCCCCGTCATGACCTCGATGAACCGACCCTCGAGCCGCTCGTCGCTCGCGAGCTCCTGCGTGTCGCGCTGCGACTGTTCGGGCCGACGGGCGAACGCGTACGGCGAGGCGGGCACACCGGCGTCGACGCCGCCCGTGACCGAGGGCACCTCGCTCGGGCGGTAACTGGGACGGCGAGCAGGGTAGGACGAGGTGGTGATGGGCTGAGGGCCGACCGGCACGCCGTTGAACGAGAGGTGCGCCGGCTGGGCGGGCCGAGCGGCAGGCGGCTGCTCAGGGGTCGCGGTCGGGAGAGGGACGTTGGTGCTGCGAGTGGTAGGGGAGGACGCGGGCGACGGGCGAGAGGGAAGGCGTGCAGGGGGAGGCTGAGCGACGGGGACGGCGGACGGCGCCTGCTGGCCGCGGAATGTGATCACGCCGTTGACGCTCTGCGCGCCCGTCGCCGGCCGAGTGCGCTCGGGCCCGCTCGGCGGGAGCGACGACGCGAGGCTCGCGCCCGTCGCGCTGCGCGGGAAGGACTGCTCGGTCGCGCTGCGTGCGGGTGGGCCGCCGAGCAGCTCACGCCGAGCGGCGTCGTGCGTCTGCGGCGCAAAGACGGGCAGGGCATGGCCGTGTGCGCCTCGGCCCTTCTCGTCGTGCGAGGCGAGGCTCGAAAACGACTGCTGCGCCCACGGCTTGCTGTCGGCGCCGTAGGGACCGCCCGCGCCGAGCGTGTCGCTGCTCGCCCAGGCGGCGGCATTGCTCAGCTCGACGGGCCGGCTCTGGCCGGCGCCCGGGCCGCCTCGCCCGTTGTCGCCGAGGTTGGTCCATCCGCCGACGGCGTCGACCTTCTTGCCGTTCTTTCGCTTCTTCCAGCAACAGATGCCGATGCCGGCGAGGACGAGGACGGCGAGGACGCCGCCACCGATGGCGATGCCGTAGATGGCGGCGGACGGGAGGCCCGTCGTGGCGGCGGCGGCGGTGGTCGACGAGTCGGCCGTGGCGGCGCTGGCGTGAGGAAGGCCGGACGACTCGGCGGCGAACGAGAAGCCAGTGTAGGTGCCGCTCGTCAGGGTGCGGTGACGGGTTGGCGGCGCGTTGCCGACCGACTTGGTGGCTGTACCAGAAGCTGCGACGCCGGGCCTGGGTGCGCAAGAGTCAGTGAGATCCAGGGCAAGAGAGGAAGAGGGACGGGCGCACTGGAACGAGGTCGAGGTGGTCGCGGCGAGGTCGGCTGCGCTCTCGAGCACGGTTGCTGCCGCAGTGGTCGTCGTCGCTGTTGCAGAGGGCAGCAAGTCAATCAGGGTCTCCCTCGTTGAAGGGGAGGACGGTCCAGCACGCACCTCGTCGGCGAGTGGTGCGTGCAGCGGTCGTAGTCGTCGCCGCCTCGGTGGTCGTGGTGACGCGCTGGCGCTTGTACATGCCGCGCTTGTGCAGGCCCTGGTGCTGCGCGGCTGGCCCGTCGCGGCTCTCGAGGTGGTGCATGCCGGGCTGACGGGTGAGGGGTCGAGCGGACGGCGAGCGAGCGCTGGATGGGGAGCGCGAGGGGAGGGCGGGTGGTGGGCCAGTCGTGGTGCCTGCTTTGACGTGGTGCTCGGTGTCGGGCACGCTGCTGTGCTGGGTGTGGAGCAGGGCGAGGAGGGCGAGGTGCTGAGGGGTCGAGCGACGGGACCGGGCGGGTGTTGTGTGTGCGCGACGCGGGCGACCAGGCGGGCGAGCTCGAGTGCAGGGTGGCGCGGTCTCGGGGTGCACTCGCTGCTGGACGCGCTCACGGCGGCTGTGAGGGGACGCAGCAAGGGGGAGAATGAGGTGAGGGCCGTTGGAGAATGCGGGGGGAGCGCGAGCCCGATCGCGCCGAGGCGCGTGCGCTCGAGAGTCGACCTTCTCACCTCGCGGACGCTGCTCTCGCTGGCGAATGCAGCCCTGTGTCCAGCTCTCGTACTCGCAGGACGCCAGACACGGCGCTCAAGAAGCTGCAGTGCAAGACCAGGCGTCAAACACTCTCTCCTCGCGCTCCAGAGCGTCACCGTGACCGCTTCGTCCCCGCGTCTCGAGCTCCTCCCGCACTCCCTGCCGTTCCACGGGCCTCCGATGTCCCGTCCACCTCGACGCGACGACGAGCGTGAGCTCACGCCGCCCGGAATGGATCGAGCGAGTCGAGCTGGATGAGGAGGTCGGCCGGTGGCTGCGGGCGAGCAGGAACGCGGATTGCCCGTCAGTGCGTCGCCTCGACACAGACAGAGAAAGAGAGAGAAAGGAGAGAGGGGACGCACCTCGCCGCTCGTCTCCCCCGCGTCCTCCTCGCGCTCGCGCTCGCCCGAAACCTGGTCGACCCTCGAGCCCCTCCCTCTCTCGCGGTCGTCCTCGCCCTCGCTCTCCTCGGGGAGCTCGCCCACCCGCAGCCTCGGCGTCTTGACCGTCTCGACCGGCTCGCCCTTGCGCGCCCCTCGCCCGCCGCGCTCGGACCGCTCGCGCAAAAGGTCGGCCTGCTCGCGAGCGAGGGCGGCGCTCGACAGCGACAGGGCGGCCGACGCCGAGCCCGGTGTCGCCGCTGCGCCGAGCGACGAGGTGGGCGAGTGAGGCGGAGAATAGGTGTATCGGAGAGGGGCAGACGAAGGCGCAGGAGGCGGATGGTGCAGCCGGGAGGAGGACGGCGGTCGAGGTGGCGAGGACGCCGACGCCGCGCCGTCGTGCGCGTCGAGTGCGTCAAGCAGCGCTGTGGCGAACTCGCCGAGCTGCGCCGAGCGCGTGCGCGGGCCGACGACGCGCAGGGTCGTGAGGAGGTACTCGTCGGCAGGCGAGGTGCACCGTCGGACGAGGAGGAAGAGGCGCGCGGTCTCTGGCGAGGCGGCGTGTGCCGTGGCGCGCTCCGGTTCATCGGCGAGAGCTGAGGGTATGTCGAGTGCGGGATGGAGAGCGAGAAGGCGGAGGACGGCGAAGATGAAGGGTTCCTGGAGGAGGGCGACGAGGTCTGCGCCTGCTAAGCCTGCACGCGCGAGCAAACAGTCAGTATCCGCCATCGCGGAAGAGGAGAAGACGCGAGAGCGTACCGTCGCCCTGGGTGAGCCACTCGCTCAACAGCTCGAGCGCCCTCGCCGCCTCCTTCTCCTCGAGCACCTGCACGGACCCCGCCGCCCACAAACCCGCGATCACGCTCTTCCTCCACTCACCGCCCTCGCCGAGAAGGACCTCGTGCGCGAAGGCGCGCTGCGCCTCGAGCGGCGCGTACTGGAAGACGTGCAGGACGGGGACGATGAGGGCGGGGAGGACGGTGGTCGGGGTGAGGGCAAGTTCAGGGCGGGCGAGGAGGGCGAGTAGGCGCGGCGCTGGAGGGAGGGGCGATGGTGTGGCGAACGGCGAGGAGGACGACGCGTTGCCGAGGAAGGGAAGGACCTCGACGACGCGGGCGATCGTGCTCGAGGCGGACCGGCGCTTGCCCGAGGTGGCCCGGCCGCTCGCGACGCTCGACGAGCTCGGCGTCGACGCGATGATCGACGACGGCGCAGACAGCGACGTGAGCAGCCGCTCGTACTGCATTTCGACGAGCTTGACGTCGACCCGCGCGACGAGGGCGAGCGTCGCCCGGCGGATCGTCGAGTCCGGGTCGTCGAGGCCGGCGAGGATGCTCGCCCAGGCTTGCTCGCCCCAAGCTTGCTCGTCGGAATGGTCGGCGGGCGCCGAGGACGAGTCAGCTCGCGCCTTGCCCTTGCCAGTATCGACGGTCGCCCAAGTCGAGGGCGGCAGGTAGGCGAGCGCACGCAGGGCGTACAGGAGCTCGACCGACGATGAGCGCTTGATCAAGTGCGAGTTGAGGCGCGACAGGAGGCGGCGTAGGGCCGGCGAGTCGGGCGAGGAGGGGATGGCGGTCGAGAGGAAGGGCAAGAGGGAAAGGGCGGTGAGGGTGACGGCTGTGAGAGGAGCATCAGTGACCATCCTGATGAACGAAAAACGATGATGCAGAGAGAGTTGACGGACCGTCGGAGGCCTCGTTGGCCGTCTCGAGCATCTTCTCGACGACCTCCCACACGAGCGCACAGACCGCCTCGTCCTCGCGCGCACCGAGCTCCTCGCCCGCCGCCGCCGAGTGCGCGAGCTCATCTCGCAGCACCTTGAGGGCGCGCTCGGTCGCCCAGACGCACTTGACGCCCTTGTGCCGCGTGCGGCGCTCGTCCTGCTCGGACACGGCGAGGATGCGCCGGCAGAGCTGGACGACGAGCTCGATCCGCTGTGCGACATCGGCGAGGACAGGATGTAGGGGTGAGGTGGGCGAAAGGGCGGTGGCGATTGCGGCGAGGAAGGCGGGCGGGAGAGCCTGCTGTGGCGACGAGGTGCGGCGACGGCTGGGCCCACCGGCGGCCGAGGTAGACGATGAGGGCGGACGGGGCAGGACGAGGGAAAGGACGGCGTTGCGAGCCTCGGCGACGATCGAGGTGGGCTGGCTCGAGTCGTCGTCGCGAGTACAGCGGGCGAGCGACAGGAGCGCCTCGAGAGCGAGGCGGCGGATCGGGTTCCTGCGGACGGCGCGACGTGAGTCCACCATCTCGAAACCCAGATGAGAGAGAGCGATGGAACGCACGGGTAATGCGGGTCGAGCATGAGCTCGACGACGCGCTCGCGAATGGCGGGCGCGAGTTCTGGCGACGCGAGCGCCGGATGTGCGGCGGCGCGAAGCGAGCCCGCCCACCGCGCTTCGGCCTTGTCGGCTCCGACAGGCACGTACAGGTCCTGTGTGCGACCAAGGTCAGCCCCACTTCGAGAGGGAGTGGAAACGACAAGAGCGCACCGAGCGGATCGTGTTGACGAGGAGGAGCTTGAGAGGATGCGGCTCGAGGGGCGAGAAGAGCTCGGCGCACGCGCGGTAGCCTGTAGGTGACGATTCAGTGGGTGACGATGGAGAGAGAGAGGGAGTAGAGCGCACCCATGTCGCGGTTGACGAGGCCGGCGCCTCCTGCGAGCTTGACGGCGACGGGGAGCGCCCACGCCGCGTCGAACAGGTCTTGCGCGCTCTCGTCGAGGCGACTTGGTGAAGCGTCTGCTCGGTGCGAGCGGGCATACAAGACGAGGACGAGGTCGTGGCGGGCTGTGGTCTGCGACGTGCCCCCACTCGGGTCAGGGTCAGGGCGGCAGGCGGAAGAGGGACAGGAGAGAGAGAGGAGCGCACGGGGGAAGGGGCGCGCTTTGTCCAGCTGGCCTTGATCTTGGCGAGGCACGCCAGAAGGACCCGGTTCATGTCCTGAGGGCGCGAGTCCATCATCAGTGAGGCGAAGGCTGGACGAGGAGGGGGACGACGGCGAGCTCACCTCGGGCGATCCGGCTCGTTCGACGGCCTGCACGAGCTTGTAGTGGTCTGGCGAGAGAGCGGTGCTGCTGCTGTAGCTGCCCAGCTGGGGGGCTGCCATGGTGTGACGGAGCCAACCTCGGTCCGCTCTCTCGCTCTCGCTCTCTCGTACCGCTCTCAGCCCTGAACGCTACCGACAGCACAGGCGAGCCAGTGTCGTATCGACAAGCGCACACCGCCCGCAACCGCATCCGTCACTCGTCGACTGGCCACCCTTTCCCTCATCTCACTTCGACCAGCTCGACCTCGCTGTAAACGCCGCCACCGCCGAGCGAGGCCGCCAGACCGGCTCAGGGCCGCGCAAATGAGCCAGGGCAACAACCAGCACGGCAAGGCCGACCAACGCCCGCCGTCGGGCCCGTCCCTCCTCAACCGCTTCGGCCGCAACGGCGGGCCACCTCCCTCGGCGTCCAACAACTTGCACCGTCCTGTACCGACGGGTCCGGCGAGCACGAGCGAGTTCAACGGCCAGACTGTGCGTGTCGGCCCTCTCTCCATCACCCCTCCCGGCCGAGCTGACTCTCGTTGCGACCGCAGCTCGCCTCTCGCCTCTCGACCGCCACCGGCTCGTCGTCGAGACCGCCAAACGGGCCCGCCTCGACGACAAAGGCGCCGTCACAGTCGACGTCGAAGCAGGCGCAGCCATCGTCGTCCACAAAGCCCATTTCCCTCGCCTTTCGTCTCAAGCCCAAGCGGCCACATCCCTCGTCGTCTTCCACACCAACCGCGCCCTCGTCCCACCCACCGCCAGCTCGGCCCACCACCTCTTCTGCGTCGACGCCATCCCCGAGACCGCCGTCGCTGAGCCGCTCGTCCAGCTCGACTGGCGGCGGTTCCTTGTCGGCCCGGCTCTCGAAGCCGGCGGGCTCGTCGAGCGACCACCGCAGCGCCGCACCGCCGACCAACAACGGCGCACAGCGCACGTCTGAGCAGTCGCGCTCGCTCGCTGAGCGCCTCGACGAGCCGGGCGCAAGGCCTGGGCCGTCAGCGAGCCGGCCCTCGCCAGGAGCTTCGAGCGGCGCGTCGCGTACGGCCTTCACGGTCGGCGGCACAGCGCCGACAGCGCCGCTCGCGCAGCGGCTCTCGCCGGCCGACGCGCAGGGCATGGTTGCTCGTGCCGGCGCGTCGGGCGAGACCCGACCGGCCTCGGGCTCGAGCGCGCACTCGTCCGGCGCGGCGGCGAGCACGACGGCCCAAGGCGATGCGGCGAGCACGACGGCCCAAGGCGATGCGGCTCCCTCTCGGCCGGCGGGCGATGGGCAGCCGTATCCTGGGCCGCGACCGCAGCAGCGCTCGGCGTCGCGGCAGGACCCGACGTCGAATCGGCCGATCCCGCTTTCGCGACCACCTGTACATCCTCCGCCAGCTCCTCGCCCTGACCCGCGCCGTCGGCTCAGCCCTCCTCCTCCACCCGGCCCCTCGCACTCGACCCGGCCCGCGCCGTATGCTCGGCCGGGACCGCGTCTTTCCGACCCTCGCCCTCCCGACCCTCCCCCTCGCTACGACTACCGCCCGCAGAACGACTACCGGGACGACCGCCGCCGCTCGTTCGACCACCGAGACGACTACGACGACCGCTATCGATACGCGCGAGAGCACGACGCCGCCCGAGACGAGCGCAGCACCGCCTCCCGCTCCTCCCTCGACGGTCGACCTGCGCCGCCGTCTCGCCCGGCCGCCGACTCGCGTGCTGCACCTCCACCTCGATCCTTCAACCACGCTGCGGAGCCCATACGCAGCGCGGCTGCTCCTCGACTACCCGACCGCCCCCTGACCGCCCCCACCACCGCACTACCCGAGCGCCCGCCGAACCCTTCGGCGCCCGCAGCGACCTCCCGTTCGGTGCGCCGCCCCTCGTCCTCCTTCTCTGGGGCGTACTCCGCCTGGCGCACTTCCCCGACCCACCCAAAAGCCGGTACCCATCGTCCCACGGCCACCCCGCCGCAACTCTC